CAAAAAGAAAAACCCATCGCTATCTAATTAGATAAATCCTTAAGTGTGAGATGATTATTTTTAACCGCTCATCTCGGAGCTAGACAGTGTTGTTTCCAGATGAGAGCTTGTAATGCTTACCCCATCCCTCACTAGCATTAGGGCTAGCAGGAATTATGTTGTTATAAAGTTATTAAACATAGAGGCAGTAAACACTGATGAGTAATTCTGCTGACGTGTGTGTGCGTGTATAATTTAGAAAGCAATAATACCCAGATCCAATTTGGCATACGTTGGTTACAGCCTCGCGTCACCTCATAGGAGTATTATGCCTGGCAAATTACATTGAGACGAGTCTTTACGTAACATTGAAGCATTTATATTCGAGGGATTTTTCTCCCTTTAACGGCCTGCTGACCGCAGATAAACACTGCGTTAATGCACATTTTCATTTTTCGTGGGGAGCGCTGGGTCAGGGTTACAGACAGGCTGGACACCTGCCCTGTGATTTAGTAATAAATGGGGGTTGATGTACTCTTGTGATGTATCCACAGTGAGCAGCTCATGCGAGGTTAAAGGCTGGAAGAGACATCTGGTATTGTGTCAAGAGCTGGACAGAAGTCAGGCTGTGTAGCAACGCCGCAGCAAGAATAATCCGGCCATCACAGCGCTGGCCATGTCCAGGTACAGTAAATACAATGCACCTGCTCACAGCACAGAGAGGAGGGACTGAGTTTACATTTGCACACTACAATTAATTAATTGTTCTTAAGATAAACATTTCATTCTATTTTAAAACTAATATATTTGTGGAACTAACTGATTGGAAATCAGCTCACCCACTCTGACTCACATCATATATGTATTATATTGTGCTTTATAGCTTCACTGATTGATTTTCACATAACCTAAACACACTGTGTTCTGTGTAGGAGCCATGCTACTCTGTTGGCGGGCGATGCCTGGGGCAGAGTTTTCACCTGGACGTGTGAATGAGAAATGGCAGACTTTAAACACAATCGTGCCTCCAGCCATCATTTCCACACAGCCCTTATCCTCCCAAAGAGACTCTGACACAGAAAATCCATCAGTGTCTCAGGTCTGACACCAGCTGAGCATTGACACCTGATGTATTTCAGATCAGGTGTGTGTGTGCATTAAGGGCAAACTGTTACAATATTTGGTACATTCAAGCCTCAGACAATATAGATTATTCTGTCTCCTACATAGATATTTAATTCTGTATGTTACATTGTAAATACTGAATTTCAATGACTTTGAATAAAACTATTGAGAGTTATTTGTAAAAATCTTCTCATGAGTGTCTGTGATTTGGATTAAGACTAAAATCTTGGGTGGCCAGGATTTTATTTTATTGCATTATCATGTGTGCGGTCGTGTGTGTGCATGTGTGTTATGTGTTTTGTGTGTCTGCAGCTGATCTAGCAAACTACTGAGCCAAATAGCCTAATATTTTGTGTGCATGTGTATGACTGTATGCTCGAGGATTTCTTGTGGATGTGGTGATTCATCGATTTTTATTAAAAAATCCTCTTTTTTTTAAAAATTATTTTATACTGTCATTAACTGCTGACTTCTTGCTCCTCTTAAGCAGCAGGTAGGGGCCAAAAGATTTCCAGAAATCATCTTGCTAAATACAACAAGCCTTACCTTCTGTTGCAGGCTACATTTTGGCCTTCGTCACGGCTCAAAAACTGACACGTATAGAAAAGTTTGGTCTCATTTTGAGTCAGAGCTTCTGGAGATTAATTCCATACCTGATGTGATCCACTAGGCACATTAGGAGATGAATAAATCACGTTTTTTTTTTTGTTGTGTTTGCTGCCATGGTGATTATAATGGAGCCAGGAGGGACCATTGCACCAGCCGCAGTTCTCAGTGGTCAGGCAGTGGGTTTGTTCGTCCACCACACAGCGTCATACCACACCAGGAGCATTTGAGAAGCAGAGCGTTTTGCCTGCTCAATTTTGTAGACATGCAGGTTTTGTTGATTTAGTCATTTTTCATAATATTTGTTCTTTTACCACAAGTAAGTAAGCAGGCTGTGTAGTTAAATGGTTTCTTTTCTGCCTTTATTTTAACTGTTTATTGTTGTTATTTCCTACTTGTGCTGTAGCCTACAGACAAAGTAACTGTCGTTAGCAGTCCAGTTATGAACGACAGGGATCAAAGATTCGTGGCTGTGTTAGATTATTAACAGCATTCATTCTCTTCATTCTCATAATTACATGATAGACTTTATATTTTACATACAGTGCCTGTTAGTAAGAGAAATTGATCTGCTCTGTACAACGCACTGCAGCTCTGTGAAAATCAGACAAGGTGTGTATTTTTATTAGCGTCTGGATACTTCTGAAACATACTGCACTGCTTCTGATGGAATTAAAAGAATTGTCTAGAGTGACCACGAACAGCTCAGGGGGGGCCGCCTGGCAGAACTCTGCACTCAACTGAGTGTACTTTTCTACTTTCATCTGGGATTCATAAAGGTGAAACCAGGAGAACACTGGCTGAAATTCCCCAGAACTGCTGGGTAATTTTTGCCTTAGGAATGTGATGGGGAAAACAAGCATCTAAATACTCGCCTCAAAACAATCTTTTAAATTGACCCTTGCTGCTCCAGCATAGCTAACAAGGGGCCGCAGCAGAAGCTTGTGTTTAAACTAGGTAGCTTCAAACTGAAAGCGGGGGAAATTGTGTGAACGCGGCTCTTTAATAGTATTGCAGAGCTGGAACCGTTCATTTCTCACAAGCTGCACAACATCCATGATCATAAAAAGCACAGTGTGCAGACGTCAGCATTTTGTGCTATGAGGGTCACAGTGTTTTGCTTTGGTACATGTCTGTGGTATGAATAATTCCGGATGTTTTGCTGGTCGTGAATCGTTTACTGAGCTATCTTTGTTGTTTTACACAATGTGTTTTCAATCTCCTTTGTAATGTGGTATTTATGAGTAGTTGAACATTTGGCTGCTTTGCCATTTGTTGGACGTTATCCTCCTCAAGTTTACTGTGACCATGTCAAATGTGTGTGTGTTGTGGGTGATGTTAAATGTGTCTGGGCCTTGTTGAGGTATCCTTTCTGCTTGTCACAGCTTTTTGTGTGTGTTTATGGTTAACTGAGGACAAATGCCTTTTTAGCCTCATCAAACTGTTCAATCTCTGTGTAATCACTGTAGGGCCCCGACAACACACTCCTGGGTATATCTGACCCATTTGTAGAGAGACGTTATGAAATTTAACCCCTTCTAAACATTGATCTTAATCTAATCAATGGAAAAATGCAATGCTGACTGTCTTGCATCCATGCACTGATATTCCGATAAATAAGCTAGCTTTTAAAAAGATGTTAGATTGCCAAGATTGTGGAGACTTGCTCTCTTTCTGTGTCTGCCTTTCCTGCTTGTTCTCTCATGCACACGCACCACTCCTCTCTATCATAAAGGAAGAGGTCTCTCTCTTTAACCTTTGTGTGTGTGGCTAATTGTGCTAAGTGGAGTAGCTTAATAGAGTGGAAAATAGTCCTCATAATTTTCCCAGAGAGCGAGCAATGACCTTCTCTAAAGCTAACGGCCATCTCCATTCTCTCTACACCGCTGGTTTTATGATATGAAATGTCAAACCACTGGGTTCCTCAGAATAATTAAATCAAATAAATTATTGCACCTAGGCAGAACCATCTTGTAGCCTAACCCAATTATAATGCACTGTAAAGCTAATTATTAACCATGATTACAATTAGTCTAATTTGAATAAATGTAGTCATTAGCGGGTTCATCCTAGTCAGTGAGTCTGAACTGTGGGGGATGATGGTCTCTCTCTCTCTCCATCTCTCCCACTCACAGAGAGAAGGGTGTGTGGATGTGCATCATTCTCTTTCTCCATGCACCTCTATCTTCATCCCATTTTTCACACACTGACCTTCACAAAATGGCCCACACCCTTCACCTTTCTTGGGTACTTGAGCATAATGTGTGCTGCTTCCAGGATTCATATTTGCTGTTTATGTCTGTGCCGTGTTGATTGGACTTTGAAAGCAGAAACAGAAGTCTCACTGTTCTGTTGCTTTTTTGTATGTTCTTGTTAGAAAAGCTAAATCTGGTCTAAACAGTGACATTACAGCAGACCCTTCTTAGGGTAGATACGAAGCAATAATTATATTTTGAGAAACAGGCTTATTTGCTTACTTAGCGAGAGTTAGATGAGAGATTGATGGCACTTTCAAGCCTGTCTGGAAAATATGAAGCTACAACCATGGACTATATTTAAAAAATGGACATATCCCACGTGACATCATTTCATTGGTTTGTGGACTCCCGTTTTAAAGCCTCAAGTTTGGAGTTTTGGCCATCGCCTTCTTGGATTTTTGGAGCCAGAAGTGACCATATTTAGATGAGTGGCTGGATCTGTGGAGGAGTGAGGACAGATCTGACTTAGAGCCCTAAGACAATGTCCACAGACAGCCTGTCACTCAAAGCAGCCACGCCCTTTGTTATGCCTTAATGAATTTAAAAGGTTGGTTTATATAGAAATTAAGCCCCTTAATTTGTCATGAAGGAGGAAATTAGCTTTGGAGATCAAACTGTTTTTGTACCAAGCTGTAAACATGTTTATTTCTGCTGTAAAGTTTGGCACCAGAACTGGGGACTGACTTCCTTTTTGGAGCCACACTCAAGTGGCCATTAGGGGCGCAAAAGTTTTTGGCACTTCCGTGTTGGCCTTATTTTTCAGCCCTGGACATTGCCACTTGGCTACAACCTGCAGCTGGTTAGCTTATCTTAGCATAAAGACTGGAGACAGGGGGAAACAACTAGTCTAGCTCTGTTCAAAAGTAACCAAATCCCTCTACCAGCACCACTGAAACCACTGCAGCTGTTTGTAATAATGTGCTGGTTTCATCTTTTGTTGTGTAAAACAGATTTTTCTTGTGACCCCAGACAGCTCTGACAAATGCAGTCCTCTCCACTTTGAAGAACATTTATATGACTCAAAGACAGTCAGACCCGGGCATATATTTATTATTTGGTGTATTAGTACTGTAAATATAAATGCAGTTGAAGAGTGTTACAGTGCCTTACGATACTGCAGTAAGAGAGCCTGTACAACAGTTTCTTTCCACACAGTCTCCTGAGTTTATACAGAATAGTTAACAGTAAGAGCGTTCTTATAAACATCTGGCTCACAGGCCGACGATGCCAACAAACAAAACAACAGAATTATAAGACCCAAAAACTGCTGTGCTGGAATGGAACTGCGCTGAGGAAACAAAACCCTCATTTACCGACAGTTGTAGCGTACTTACAGCCAAAAAACAAATGCTAAATGCCATACTGATAGTTCATAAATATAGTCCTTTGGTTGCCACTTAGTTCAGTTGCCCTCACCGGGAGGTACCATGACATCCATGTGTCCAGAGCTGCTGTGTTTACAGCTGTTTTTCCTGGAAGAGGATCTGAGCGTACACAGTGTCTGGGCTGGAGGGAGTGGGGTCAGGGCTGGTGGTGGCTGGGGACTCTGGCCTCGGTCTGACCAGCTCCAGTTCTGCATATGTCAGACTATCATCCTGTGGTACTCGAGGCTGAAGGAGGGAGGGAAAGAGCAGGAGAAACTTGAAGGAATTTAACCCAGAGATAAGGCAGAAGAGGAAATATGCTCTATGTATAAAAATGTATAGTGAGCACAGATATCTCTGTGTATCGGGAGCAAATGCATCCCGCCTGCATTTAATCTTTTTCAGCAAACAGTAGTACTACTCTGCTTTCCACGGTAAACATGCCCTAAGTGCTGTTCAGCTGCAGAAAGTATGTGTTTACAGGACCTCTTGGAACATCCAGTTTATTCTGCAAATATTTTCTACAATAGGAGTCCTATCCAACATCCTCAGATCCTCCTAGTTGCGCTAATCTAATCAACATGTTCATGTAAAAGAAGCGCTCACATCTCCAGAGCTTCCTCTCACGACACAATCGCAAGAACGGCGCCAGTAGAAATACTGATGATCCTTAGTTTGAGTAGTTTTCTTCTGTATGTACTTGTTTGACATTTTTATTGTAGATATAAAACCAATGGAGCACTCTAAATAAATAATTGTGTTTGAGAAGCAATAAAGCTAAATAGAATTATCAAGCTCATAACTGAATGAAGAGACGGCAATAAACTCCTGTAGACAATCATGCAGTCGTGAAACAAATTCCCTCTTGCATGTATCTCAATAACAACTCTGCGCTTGAAAAAAACACCTTTTGAGAATGTTAATAAATACATTTTAACAGATATATTAAATGCATGTGTTTTAGAAATGTAGGAGAAGTAGACAGAGGTGTTTGTATGATGGGTGAGAATGAGGGCACTCACAGGGGCAGAGCTCCTGAGTTGAGTCTTTAACCTTCTGGGCTTCTGAGGTCTCTTTGCAGCAACAGGCACTGAAAAGCAGACACAACCTTAACTGACTGGGAACAACAGCCAAGAGGAATAAACTCACAAACATGACTGTGGTCGAAGGAAGTAATCGTCCCTCACAACCACTTCATATTAAACCCACGGAAGAGATTGATACATCATTTTCAGCATCAGTGTTGATTTGACCTCAGACAATACACTCAGCAGGATCTAACCCAAATACAGTATAAAGTTTCACTCTGTAGTCTCCCAGTCTCTTTCACGCTGTGCTGTTTTTGTCCTGGAAATTGAATCACGCCAGAGATATCATTTTCTGCTTTTGTGCTTGCTGGACACCTTCATTTACTGTTTTCTTTACCCACTAACTCCTGTTCTTGGGGCTGGAGCCTCTCTCCGCCCCCCTGCGACTCTGATGACTCCAGTGTGTTTGAAACTTGAGAGGAAAGACAAGGACTGCCACTCTGTCTGCCCCTGACAAAATAGATTAGACTGTGGAAAAATATCTGATGTTTCAATTCAGAATAAAGTTTACTGTGTGAGATAACAGCCCAATAAATTGGCCACCGGATACTTTAACCTCTCCAGGCCTATGAAAATCTTTTACATGAAGGTACTATTTTGGTTAAACTGCTCATAAGTCATGTCCACACTGAGGCCATAACCTGTGATGTGGGGTCACAAGTAGACTTTATTTTAAAAGGTCACAAGCCAAAAAGGTGAGATCCACTGAAGGATTTAATTTCTCCCAGAGGTTACATCCTGCCCTCAATGTGTCACGTTACCTTTGGCTGGTATGTGTGGTGGTGGCTCCTCGGGTAGTTTAGGTGGTGTTATTATTGCACGTCGGTCAGTTTTCTGTCTTGTGTCTTTCCTTTGGGCTCGTGGGGAGGAACTGGAGGAGCTGCTGGAGCTGGTGACAGTTTCTCCCGAGCTGCAGGGAACAGAGGAGAGTTTTTAAAGTTTTAATTACAGCTGCACCCAGTGGTAATTTAGATTATCAGTTAATCTTATGATCATTTCTGCAATTTATCAATTGATAATATAGTGTATTGAAAATAGCTTGTTTTTTTTCAATCAGCAATCCATAACCAAATGATTTTAACTGAAAATTATATAAAACTGAGCAAAGTAGCAAACACTCACTTCTGAGAAGGTAGAACCAGCATGTGAATCTTTAAAGATTCAGTTATCAAAAGTATTGATTGATTTTATGTCAGCTGACTGACTAACCATTTATTTGTTTCAACACTAGCTTTATTGTCATCTTTTGTTTTGAATTTGTCACATGAAAATTGTTGCACACGAGTCATTTACGATACGGATTCTTGCATATACACAGCTGTATATAGTATCTAGGTTGACGCAGGTGACACTTCCACCTCAATATTTAGACTGTGCATTTGTCCACCCTAAGTAGCAGAGGACATTTATTTTGACAAAAGTAAAGACATTAACACCATAAGCTGATGCAGAAAAGGCATGTATCGGTGCATTAAAAATGATCAGAGTGCAGGAAATTAAGTGTTTGATACTCTGATACTCCAAATTTTCTGGTGGAGGACCCTTAACCCCCCTGTTTCATATGTGTTTTCCCCTTTGTTGAAACAAAACCTACACCCTTGCATATACAAACGGCAGTTAACCAAACTATATACACATCACCGTTGTCATGCAAATAAATAAATACATAAATAAATAAATTTTAGAAAAGGAAAAAAAGAAAAAGGGTGTATAGGTGACACGTGTAAGAAAATGTGGGTTTAAAAGAGAACCAACAAGGGTGTCTCTCACCTCTGTCTACCATACTTGCCTGCGCATTATGAAGTACAGCTGATGATCGTTCTATGAGAGCAATATCCTTAAAATAATTCAGTCATTCTTTTATCGATGGAGGCTCAGGGGAGGGCAGTGAGTGTATTATGGTCTTCTCGGCAGCAGTTAAACCTGCAAATATGACTTTTCAGAGGGCTAACAGGGTGTTACATTGAGGTCGGAGTCAGAGTTGAATGAAAGCAATGTGGACTGTTTAGGAAATGGGAATTCCAGGTTATTTTCAAGGCACTTGGCCACATTAGCATTCCCATAAAACATGAAGGTATGTGACAACAGTATCCTGACTACATTTAAGTTTGAACTATCAATGAGCTTTATTTTTACGAGATCAAATGGTGGGAAATTTCTGCACAAACTTATAGTGAATGAGCTTATGTGCTTTTTTTAATGATGAATTAGATAGATATGCTGGCCCAAATATTGTCTCAGTAAAGTTCAAGGCCATATCCTTCAAGGTCATGATTTCAGTCACCCCCATAGTTTTTCAACACTAGTTTTATTATTAAAATAATTAAATACATTAAAGATCTTTACCTGCTTTCTGGACACTTGACCAGAAGGTAACTCGCTGTGGAGGAAGTAGCAGAAGAAAAATTATGTTGATTTAACAGCAAAGTCGTCTGGTTATGTTTTGAACAGGAAAACTGAAACATAAAGTTTTAAGTGTGAAGTTACTGTAGGACAACCAATGATGCTTTTACCTTTGAGCCTGTGTCTTCTGTGAAAGTACTGGCCGATGAGAACCAGAGTGAACAGGAAGATGGAGAGCAGGCCCAGTGAGCAAATCAGCACAGCGCACAGATACACATCTATAAAACAAACAGGAAAAAGCATCAGAATGGTGGCATTATCAAAGTAAGACTTGTATGGTGAAGTGAAAACAGAGGAGATGGAAACAGTACCTGCAAATAAACGCCACAGTCCTGCACTGCTACCATCATCAGGAGTGAAGTGCACTGGAAAAAAATGTAAAAAAAAGTCAGCAGAAATAGTAAGTTGAGGGTAGAAAACTGCCCAGACTGAGAATCTTTATAAATTGCTGTTGTCTGAGGGCAAAGACCCAACGCAGCAGACAGCCTCAGTGGTTTCCAGAAATATCAAAACTGCTCTCATGAAGGGAGATTCTGCAGCAGCATCAGCCAAACCCACCACACACACACACACACACACACACACACACACACACACACCACAAACACACACACACCACAAACACACACGCACACACAGGCCCGGTTGTATTGCTGTTCTTGGACTGTGTTTGGGGGGTTCCCCATCCCACTGCTCTGCATCTCCACTTCCTTTTGTTGGTCGCTTCACAATCGTTTCATGTTGCAATTTCCTTTGTGAGCTTATTAGTGTGAAAAGAGAAGGAATAAGGAAGTTGTTGTCAGTGTGTGTCAATGAATGATGGGTTGTGTGTAGGTCAGGGGTATTTAGCAAGAGGTTGAGGAGAGTGAACAGAGGTTATGTACATAAATTACTTAGTCTCTGCTCCCCGTAATGAGTTTTTAATATGTCTTTTAAACACCAGTTGATAAACATATTAATAAGAAATGATAAGATATTAACTCTAATTGACTTCTAGCCTGTTTCCAGACCGCTGAACTGCCTGCAAAAATTGTCACGTGGTCTCGGCCGCTCAGTCTGAATATCACGTTAATTAATGTCAGGGAGCAACATGATGGCTTTTGTGTTGCCAGTGAACATGAAAAACTGTATCAGATGAAGGTGATCAGTTTTATAACACAGCATGACATGTATTTTTCAAAATACTGCTCTAATTGATTACATCTTTACACAATATTTTTTCTCTAGAGAACGTACACAGTCCAAGAAACAAGACTTAAAAAAAATAGTTTGATTATAGACGTAACAGTGAGGCTTTAAGGCTGTTTTTTCTAAATCTTTTGTTTGACACTTGCTAATTCACTGCTATTGTAATTACAAAGGGCCAATCTATGCTGTTTCATTGGACTGGATCAAATTGTATGGTGTCCCTGTTATTTTGTCCACCCACACTTCTTACCACTAAATTAAAAGTAATGACAGACTTCTAGAGTAGACACACTGTAGTTGAAACTCATCTGACGAGGTGACAGGCTACATCCAACAGGCATCTCTTGACAATGTGAGCAATTAACAGTCAATGCAAGTAAACCACATATGTGACCTTTACACTGTGGTTAACCACATGCTAAGCCTCACATCTGATGGGTTCACGCAGCCTAGGGTTAACAGGGCTGGGAGCTGTTAAACACTCTCTACAGATGTGTGTATACAAGCTCAAGTTTGTGCACAAAATGTATACCGCACATGTATTCATGAAAAGCTGAAAACATAAGGTACGGATTTAAAATCATCTGCTTTCCCCCATCAGTCCAGCTGTGAAGACAGGACGCAGGGTGGGGGGGTCCGCCACAACTTCACCTTCTTCCAAGGTGCATGCAGAAGGGAAATAAGTCCAAAGAGGTTGGTATAAAGACTGCAAGACCAACGTGTGTTCGGACTGTGGCCAGAATCAGGACGCTGAAACATGAACCATCTGTTAAAACCAGCAGGATTAGAGACCTGAAGTCAGAGAGCAGGGCTTAAAAAGATTTACTTTAATTTAACCGTGCAGACTGTCTGCTCCTTTTTCCAGTTTAGAAAAGCATCAGAATTCACTCGACCATGATGTCTGAAGATCTGAAGTTGGGATTTAGAGATGTAGGAGAAGACAAACCATCTTCTCTCCGTGCAAAATCTTCTGAATAAAATGATCTGAGTGGGGTGTGGCCTTTGCCCTGCAGACTGAAATCTGCAGACTGAGGGGTTCCCTGGATTACAGTTACAACTCTGTCGTTTTCTCTTTGTTTACCCTTATAATGTCAGCTCTTGTGTTTCTGGTTCTGTGGTCAATGCATGTCGGAGATGCCTGAGGTTGTGTGGCTTCCTTAGTGGGACATTGCCCTGAATATAGGGCAGGGCGTTGTCTGATGGCTCCGTCCGATTCAAGCCTCGACAGTTTTCTGGCATAAAATTAGTGAAAGGTAAACTGTGCAACTGTGTCAGGTGTCGTCGCACTTGTAGCACAGTACATCAGCATCTAAACTTTCTATTAAACCCCTTTATCCAGTGCATCCCACAGAGACAGACATCTTCCCTGCAGATCAATCGTTAAAAAGTTAAATCAGATTAAGGATCGTTCTGCAAAAGAAATATTTATTACTGCATGTGATTTAAATTAGTTCCTAACCTGATTTGTTCAAGTTGTTTGTTACATATTGGCACCGATTAAATAAGTTCCACCGCAGCCGAGTTCTCCAGTGAATTTTCTCCTGAGGCTTGCATAAAAGTAAACCCAGAATGCTGACGTCATGTATTTCAGAGTTTTTGAACGTACGTAGCCAGCTCAGCAACACTCTCCTTTTTACTCCTCACACTCATACACAGAGAGTGATATTGTTAAGTGTGGTTTGGCTGTGTGAGCTCATTGTTTTGAGATGGAAATGCCAGAGGATTGGGGTCACACTCAAACACACATACAGGCACCACTTACAGCAAAGCGCAGCTAGAGTCAGAAAATACATGCTACACATTTCTATCTGGCCTTTGTCCTTTAATAAAAACTGTTGCTCCTCCTTTGTTTGGTCATTTCCATTGCCAGATAACATGGACAGCATGTCTCAGCTGAGTTTGTGCGGCTGTAAGGGAATTCCTCGGAAAGGAATATTCCATGGAAAACATTTTCAGGGTAATTACACCAGAAGTCCCCTTTGTGTTTAATCCTCTTTTGTCAGTTACCAGGGTTGCACAAAGGTATGAAAAAAAGTAAAAAAGTAAAAGACTTTGTTCATTTCATGTCAAAGGCCAAATAGTGACAACACAATGCACAGTTTTACTGTTTTGCCAGGTGGTCATGAGAGATAGATTTGTTTTTTTTTTTAACCACCTGCTTCAACCAAGAGGAGGTTAAATTGGTGTTAAATAAATTCCCTCACATTTGATCTGGAAAAGGTGAAGAAGTTAATGCAATCAGACTCCCTATTGTGCAAGAAATTGTGCAATACTTTATTTTGTTTCACAGCCTAATTCACCTCTGGCTTGCCTTATATCAGGGGACACCACCCTAACGCTTTAACATCTTGTTCAAGAACACACACAGAGAGAGAAAGGGTCTCAAACTCCTGCCCGCTCGGCTAACATGCTTAATTTGAAAAAGCAAATAAAGAAAAACAGCACTTTAACCCGCAGTCAGCCAAAATTGGGGCCTGGACCCATGGAAGAATTACTGAGCAAGCCTACAGGGCACAGGCCCAGGGGCCCAATGTGTAAGGGGGACCTCCTGCCCCTAACCTGCAAAATTTCACTTAAATTATCACATGCTGACCAAGGAGGGATTCAAAATGACCACAAAGCAATGCAAAGGAGCTGCAGAGAGGCACAACATCACTACAAAAAGGGGCAAAACAACCACAAAGAGACACAAAACAACCAAATAAGACTCAAAAGTACTTGAGAGGCACAAAACCACAAAAAAGATGCATTATGACAACAAAGAGATGCAAAACAGTGACACAAAAAGAAGATTAACAGCTATACAGTGTATGTACTCCCATACAGGAGATATGGGGGGCCTTTTGCATGCCTGTGCCCAGGGGCCCATTATCTGATAATCCAGCCCGGCCCTGCCAACGAACAAATGTGAAATTGAGAGAAGGCCATCTTTAATTACCTGTCACTTGTGTGGTGCTGGTGCCATTGGATGATGCCCTCCATGTGTTTCTGTGTTTGCGAATCTCTTGAACTCTGCAGGTGTAGAAACCCTGGTCAGTCCCCGTCATATTGAGAATCCGCAGCCGGTACACCTCTCCCTCCGTTTCCTCATACAGACGGAACTTCATCTGGAGGAAGCGACGAGTGTAGTTCCCATACATCTTCATTTTCTTGATGCCAATCTTTGCAATGAGAAACTGAGGGGGCTCCAGTGCAGGAGGAGAGGGGGATGGAGGGGAGGGAGGAGGCGCCAGAGTCGGAGCAGCAAGAGGAGAAAAGAACCAGCGTAGGATGAGGACACTGCCGCTCCTCTTCCTCTGAGATACCAGGCAGGAGAGCGTCAAGTTGTCTTTCTGTGTTACCATGACAACAGGCCCAGGGGTCACTGTCACATTCAGGCCATGACATACCTCTGTTGACAAAAGACATAAGCAGAACAAGTGGTTAGTGCAGTCATTTTTGGTTATGTTGAATTTGAAACACAGCACATATGTGTTCTTGTTGTGTTGTTAACATTTTTGTATGTTATCCATGTTCTGTTTTATGGCAGAATAAAATGAAACCAAACCATAAAACATTTGCTTTTCCAAACATAAGGACACTCTGTGATCTGGTAGCTTGTGTGACCCCTCCCTGCAGTTAAATTAGTAATTAACTAGAGCTGCTAATGAGCCCCACATGGGAGAAAGTCTGAGTTCATTTTTGCAAGATGTTTGATTTCCTGCCAATTAAACATAATTGTAGCATTTAGACAAAGTACGTTTATGTGCACACCCACAAAGGCTGCTTGGATTTATGGTGTTATAGCTCAAACTATCACTGGTTCTACTTATATATGTCATTTCATCACTGAAGGAGAATTCAGTCTGCAACAGCTAGAAACCTAAGAGGACTGAGAATCAGAAAACATAGTCTGTGTGCCCCATTTTTACTTCCCTGGAGGTACTTTTATTCTGCTGCCAGCTGGGTCAAGCCTTTTTAGGAGAGACACTGAGTCTGGACACAATATGTATGATCAGACAGGCAAGGAGAATCTACAGGTGGGAAACATTCATCTTCAGTACGGCACAGCCCGAAACAGGCAAGGAGAAACACGACAAGATAACAGGGACCATCTGGGCCCCAGTGCTGTCTTCTTTTTTTGTTGTTTTGTTTGTTGCTGTGTTAGTTGGGGAATCTCCCTCAGGGTCTGTCCTACACTATTTAATGTGACAACAAAAGCAGCGACAGTGACTCAAGCCAAACACAAATCTCAACATAACCAAAAGATTATAGGGCAGGAAATATGAGTTGTAGGTCCACTGTATGGCAGTTTGTAGAATGCAAAATATACTGAGGTTTTCTCTAATCACAGGGAACAAACTTTCTTAACTCCACAGCTGGTGTAATTTTAAACAAAGCTATAGTCAACCAGTTTGCAAAAGCAACGTCAATATTGCCAATAATGTAATATAACTTAATGCACTTGCAACTTTTGGTCATTTTCGAGACAGTGACTATTAGGAGGTGTCTTTCCTGTATGTTTGACATTATTTTCACACTCCATAATAAACTCAAAATGCATGGTTTCACAGTGGTGCATGTTAGATGATCGATCAAATTACTCCTTTTGACACACTCTCCTTCTTTCTTGCCTGCTTGATCGCTTTCTCACTGGTTTATATTGTTGTAAACAAGGTGAACTTACCTGTGACCAGAGCCTTAGTCAGGACAAGGACCACTATAGAGAAGTACATTTTCCACAGTCAGCGAATCCATAAACCCAGACAACTACACAGCACTTACACAAGCAGCTACATTCAAAACAGAGCCTGACTGGACAACCCACCAGAGCCCTTACCCACCATTAACTCTTCTCCTCTTTCTCCTCTTTTCTGTGTAATATGAAACAGTAAATGCTCTGTTTCCACTTAGAAACTCCCACTCACTCTCCCAGTACTCTCCCTCTCTCTCTCTCTCTCTCTGTTTCTCTCTCTCTCTGACTGTCTCTCCCTAGCTCTCTCTTTTTCTCTGTGTGTCCTGCAAAACGTAGGAAATGTCATTTCCTGTGTTCCTGTGAGGAGTCTTGGACTGAAGCCCAAAGCCCCAGAACTCGAAAGCGATGGTCAGGTCTCGTTGTTTGTGTGTGTGCGTCTGCGTGCGCCTGTCACATTGTGTGTCATTTGAAGGAGCATACACAGCAAAGCGCTGAACATGCATTTCCATCACCCAAGTTACTCTCAGAGTCCTGGGGTACTCCTCATCTGACGTCTTTCAATAAACTTTCAAGTGTTGATGTTCATAAATGTGATGTTTTTGTCTGCATGCATGCGTACATGCATTTATGTGTGCATGTGTTGCGTGCGTGTGTGTGTGGGACCTCTCCCTGTCTGGCTGCTGGACAGAGTGGCATGGGCTTGTCTCTGGCTGTGGTTGTCAGACTGTCCCAGTGGTATGAAGCCTGCTGCTTTATTGGGCAGGCTAAACTGCTGAGGCAGGGCTTCTGCTGGCGCTTCGAGCTCTGCCAAAGCCAAATGGATTTACACAACAGATTTAACCCTTCAGATTGTATGTAGGATTCTCTGGAAAAGCCTGGATTCTTCAGAAAACGGACGTACTGGGTTGAAACGGTGGTTACATCTACTCTAACCTTGACAAAATAATTTGTTTTGAAAAGATAGTAATTGCAAGCTGTTGTAAAAGTTGTAACAATTAAGGGTCATGTGTAAAAGTGCCAGAATTATAGTTGGTGACTGTGTGAGAAACATTATGACTTCTAAACTAGATCTTTTATTTGGGGTTTCCCCTCAAGTTTTCCTTTACATAAGTCTCAAGTTCAAGTCTTTGCTCTAGTAGAGGAATCGCTCTCCTCTGCCCTGCAGTGGTCAAAGCAGGTTACTGCTTCTCAGGGGATCAACAATATTTACAATGAACTGATGAGTATATGAAGGCAGACCGTGTATGTTATATCTGTATTGGTGAATCAAGGCAAATCAAAGCAAAGACACTTTCATACCATTATTCCTATCATTGGATCCCATAGGTGCACTAGACAAAGACATGCACACAAATGTCATTAACAAAATGTTATTTTCTCTTTTGTGTTCATTAACTCTCTCAGGACATATAACTGTGCTCTTTCAATAACACTTTGTAATTGCCTTATACACTCAGTAAAAAGACTCTTCATTTTGAGTCATTCAGACCCAGGGTACATTTCAAGAGTGGGAACAGGATGACAGTGGCAGTAATATTATATTGTTATTACAGCCCTCTGAGTAGTAAAATGAAATCAACCTGGGGCAGCAGTCTTTTATATTTCCTTTTTTATTTATTTATAACCTTTACAGTGTGAAGACAGTCATCGTGGTGAGAAATTATTTGGCTGATTGAACGAAGTGTGTTTTTATTGCCTGAAGAAGTCCATGTCACACAATTCTGAATCACAGCAACACAGAAACATTCTCACAAACTTCCAACTTTAAAAATGGACTACTGTATGAAATTAAACCTTAAAAACAGCAATGATCACATCACCATGTTTTCACTTTGACACAGTGGTTGAATACACAAACTATGCTTTACACCATCTGCAGATATTTGATTGACGCTGTGGGTTTAACAATATTTCATGCATCACAAAATGCCAAAAGAAGGATTTCTCCTAAAGAAAAAAGAATGAAAACTTAAGCAGGCCTGCCAGTGTTCATAGTAGAAACCAGTGTTTCTCTAAACTACTAAACACCACAGACACACTGTTGCCATTTATATAATAACATATTTCTAGGTTTAGGAGGCAACGGGATACTGATCATACTGTATACACAAGAAACATACCTTAGCTTCTCACATTCAAAAGTCAAATGGAATGGTGAACTTCTCCGTAACACAAAAAAAAATAGCTCAACAGTTAATCTTCAAAATCAACAGCAGTAATTTAACAGCATCTCAGTGGGGCTTTTTAAAACTACAAACCAAAAACATTCTGAGACTATTCTCATTTACAAACACTTAAAATACTGCATATCATCATCCATTCATACTGTGCTTTTGGGTATCTTTATTTTATCAAACACTTTATTTGTCTACTCGTCTGTTTTAGAACATCAACCCCGTTTGAGTAAAAGCTACCAGTCTCACCAGTCAGACACCTCCATAAAGTCCTCCAGTTCACCCATGGTTATTATATCACGGGACTGATATCGTGAGTGGGCTGAGCTTTCATTTTCATAAATGGAGCTTCCTGCAAGCTGGCTGTTTGTGTCACACTCTGGGAACGACTCATATGTGCCATGTGTGTTGTAAACTCTGTTATATGTTTTGTCCTTATCATTAACTGTGTCCATGTATGGAGTCTTCTCCGGGCTGTAGCGATGCACTTCAGAGTTCTGTCCCGTTTCAGGGGCTGGATATCCGTAGATGTGGCTCTCCCTGACAGGCTGTTGGTCCTGGTGGGGAGTCACTGGGGCTGATGACCTGTGGTGGGGCACAGAGTTGATAGCAGGAGGTTGGTAGCCTTGGGGATAGCCATGGTTGCCTTGATAAAGCACGAGGGGCTTGCCAGCTGGAGATGCCTGGGATTGTTGCTGAAGCTTGACCTGCATGTGGGGTTGGAGCTGAGGTTGTGGGTACGTCTGCTGCGGCTGGGGTCGGGAGGTGCTCTGGCCAGACTCGCGTACATTCAGCTGAACATACTTTCCTGTCTCTGGGTCAAAGAAAGTCTTTGTTTTCACTTGAACTGGCACGTCCACCACGAAATACTGACCAGAGCCGAGGTCCTGCAGCACCTTACGCTGGGTCAGTGGGTAGGCCTGGGGATAGCTTGTCTCTACATGGTACTGTGTCACTGGAGCTGGGTGGTTGGCATGATGGAGAGTGGGAGAAGAGGGAATATGAGCAACTGTTTTAGGTGCAGCAGCGTGGGAAGCAGGGCCAGCAGCATTAGCCGGGGCAACAGGGAGGGAAACAGGAGCAGTAGCATGAGGTGAAGCAACTGCGAGTGAGATAGGGCCAGTGGCGTGAGGGGAAGCATAGAAAGAGCTGTGAGAAGATTGGTGCTCTGTGTGTGATGAAGGCAAGCTAGACCCCAATGTTGGAGCATGAGCGAGGGAGACAGGTGAGGAAAAATGGGGGGAAGCCACAGCTTGGCGGCTAGAGGAGCGTACCTCAGTGGAGGAAGAGGAGGAGGAAGGAATACTGGAGCCTTCTTGAGGAGATTTCTCAACTCCAGCAGGGCTGTCTGCAGCAGTTTTGGATAACTCCTTTCTGATTCTCCGAGTAGTCAGCCTTTGAGCCCTGCGCAGGGCTTTCTCACTTTTTGGAGGAACAGTTGGAGGCTTGCCCAAAGAACGGGAGACATCACTGCTGAAGCTACAGGCTGATTCTGGCCTGTCATAATCATACATGCCTCGTACATCTGCCAGGTCTGCTGCACTGGTGGCAAAACTCTCCACATCCTCCGACATGTTGCTGATGACAGAGCGGGAGTCATCTTCATCAAAAACGATGCTCCTCCTGGAGTAAGGCCTGTGCTGCAGGAGAGGGGCCAAGTTATCCTGTGATGAGTATGTTGGCTGAAACGTAGAAGACTCTTTGATAGCAGCAAGTCTATTCAGCCCTGTGTCAGGATACACAGGAGTTCCAGCACTGCGTCTCATTATGTCTTGCTCCTCCTCTCCTCTCTCAGACCCCCTGTCCATGGGTGAACCAACCCGGAAATCCTCTCCGAAGTTCTTGTGGAAGCGTGGTTTGACTGATTTGGTGAAAGAGGAACCTCTGAAGGTGTTATCCTTCACCCTGAACATTGAGGGCTTGACTCCCAGAGCAGGAGAGGAGGTGTTGGAGCGGGGCAGAGATGGAGCTGGAGATGCTGGGGCATGTGGCCGATGAGGCCTTGTGTAGGATCCCGAGTCTTCAGTTGATCCAGGCCCTGATGGATTGTGTCTTTGTTGGGAGGGTAAAGGGGAACATAGCTGTCTCTCTCTGGGTTTCCTCTCTGATTCTGTCGAGGTGATGGCATAGTACTGGAGAGCATCTGTCCCCTGTGCTGCTCGTTTTTGCTCTTCCAACTGAATGGCTTTCTCCTTTTCTCTGTGAATTGCTAACTTTTCCTCTTCTCTCTTTTTCGCCCTGATCTCATCCTCTCTTTGAGCTGACATTTGTTCTCGTGCCACTCTCTTCTCCTCCGCTTTAAGTGCTGCCTTGTTCTTCTCTAGGAGTATGTTCCTCTCCTCTTTGACTTGTTTTTCTTCTAGTTGTTTTAGAATTGTCTTTTCTTTTTCAGCAGCTCTCCTCTCCTCCTCCTCCTTCTGAGTTTTCATCCGTTCCTTTCTCTGTCTCTGCTCTTCAATCTTCTGCTCCTGGATCTTTCTGATCATTTCCCTCTCTGAACTTTGAGCAGCTTTCTCCTCCTCTCTCTGTTTCTTTTTCTCCTCAACATCAGCAAGGATCTTCTCTTCTATCTGTTTAGCACGCCTTTGCACCTCAATCAGAGCAGCTTGCCTTTGTTCCTCGGTCAGAGCTGCCCTGCTTTGCTTCTCCTCCTTAGCAGCTCTCCTTTGCTGCTCCTCTTGAGCTCTCCGTTGCTTCTCCTCTTGAGCAGCTCTCCTCTGTTGCTCCTCTTGTGCTGCTCTCCTTTGTTGCGCTTCCTGTGCTGCTATTCTTTGCTGCCCCTCTTGTGCAGCTCTCCTCTGCTGCTCTTGTGCAGCTCTCCTTTGTTGTTCCTCCTGTGCAATTCTCCTCTGTCGCTCCTCTTGTGCAGCTCTCCTCTTCTGCTCCTCTTGTGCAGCTCTCCTTTGTTGTTCCTCTTGTGCAACTCTCCTCTTCTGCTCCTCTTGTGCAGCTCTCTTCTGCTGCTCCTCCTGGGCAACTCTCCTCTGTTGCTCCTCTTGTGCAGCTCTCCTCTGCTGCTCCTCTTGTGCAGCTTTCCTCTGCTGCTCCTCTTGTGCAGCTCTCTCCTGCTCTCGCTGTTTCACCCTCTTCCTTTCTTCATTCACTTTTATCCGCTCCTCTTCCTCTCTCAGTTTTGCTCTACACTCCTCCTCAATCTTTATTCTCTTCTTCTCCTCGGTTTCTTTCATTCTCCTTTCTTGTTCTCTTTGCTTTGCTCTCATCTCCTCTTCTTTTTGAGCAGCTCTTTCTTCCTCTGCTCTTCTTTCTGCTTCTCTCTGTTTTTCCCGCCTCTCCTTGATCTTAATAGCAATAGCCTCTCGCTCTTTTGCTCTCCTCTCTTCTTCTCTCTGAGCGGCTCTCCTCTCTTCTTCAGCCAGGGAAGCTCTCCTCTCCTCTATCATCTGTTTTACTCTCAGATCCTCTGCTCTTTTCTCCTCTTCTATCTTAGAAACTTGTTTTTTCTCCACCTGCTTTGCTCTACGTTGCTGTTTTGCTCCTGTTTCTTCATGCTGACTTGCAGTCCTTTCTTGTCTCTGCTTCTCTGTTTTCTCTTCTCCTATCTTAGTTGCTGTGCTCTCCTCTGTGTTACTCACTTGCCCTACGAGTTTTTCATGTGGATTGGAGTTATCAAGTGGCTTTAGGTGTTGTGTCACAGAAGTGCCTCTTGGCGTGTTGACTGCAGAAGATGAAGTTGTTGCTTGCAGGGGAGGATTGTTTGGCTGATGAATACTTTGTTCTACCTGACAAACTTTGTGGGTATCAGTTTGAAGCACTTGCTCTTCATGTCTCTGGGTCTTAAGATGATTTGTTGGTGACTTGTGTCTTTCTTTGACATGTTGTGCATGTTTTGCCCCAGTGTCTAATACACCTTCATTGGCTTTGGCATCTAACAGCATTTTCTCTTGTCTTTCTTTGTCTCCCAGTTTGAACATCCCCGTCCGCTGGTGTTCTTTGTCCGTAATAGGAAATACTAAGGGCTTGGGCTCTTTGTTCACTTTGGAGCTGACCTCTGTCTTAGTTGGCAAACTTTTCTCTTTCACAGAGAGGTCTGGTGGGTCAACAGTGAATACTGGACGTCTGCTATGACGAGTCTTTATTAGTGGAAAGAATCCCTCCTTTTTGTTAGGTGGGAATTCCTGAATTGTGTTTGCCTCATCCTCTGAAACAATTACTTTTAACCTGGCATAGTCTGCAATAGCTGATATCTCCGGTATTGTGGATACCCTTTCTTTGGGTTTTGTTTTAACTTCAGCTTTTTCTTTAACTGTATTTTCTCTTGTCGGGTGTGAATTTCGGTCTTTCTGTCTTTCCCTTGCTGATAAACTGGAATGGTTCTCTGTGTGATGTTTTCTGATAAGAATAGCTTGACCTGCCTCCGTCTTCTCATTTTTATTACTCTGTCTCTCACTGGGACCATCACTCTGTTTTGAAGCCAGATTATCATCTGTTTCCCTGTTTTTCCTTTTCATGTTCTCTTCTTGAACGCCTACTGAGCCTGATTCCAGTGTTTTCCTTATACTTTCATCCAAAATAAAGACTTCATTTTTTCCCACAGTGCATGATTCATTGCTGATAGCTGCCTTGTTTGGTAGTAATCCTGGAAGTTCCCTTTCCTTTGAAACAGCATCTGGCTTATCGCCTACATTTGTACGATTGGATGGTTCATCAATTGTTTCTTCTACCCCTTGCACTTGAAAGTAGTCTCCCTCCATTGGTCGTATCTTCGATTCATCCACTGATTTCCTGCTTTTAGTTACTTTTTCAGGCTTTCTATTTTCAGCTTGAGTGTTCTCACTGGTTGCACTCATGCTGCTCTGTTGACTGCTGGTTTTCAGTGAATCTGACAGATTTCTCACACTGGACAACATGCCTTGCACCCCCAAGTTGTCTTCCAAACTGTCTTTCATCGCCTTCTCCCTGCTGGATGAAGTGAGATCTTTGCTTCTGTCTTCATTGTTTAAAGTGCTCACCTTTTCTTCATGACTAGGTGATGCAACTTGTTTAGGTTCATTTGCTGCAGCTACATCAGAAGGGACAGTGGTGACATGATGTTTTCCCGCCATCTTCAGGTCATCCTTCTCTGTCACTGTTGGCACAACTCTGATGGCAATGCCACCTATATGCATCTCACCGTCCACTGGATCATTTTCTCCACTGTGTGTTTCGTTATACTGATGTTTTGGAGATTCGTGTGTGTTTTCATTCTCAGTTATATGGGTAGATGGACTGGGTGTATCAAATGGCTTTGGTGGTCTTAAATCACATCTCTTTTCTTCCACTAGGGGTGCACTCTTGTCATCTGTGTTCCTGCTATTGGATGGATTTATGACTGTTGACATATCTTCTTTCACTGATGGCTGGATGTCATGTTTTATCAGAGTTCTAGCATCAGCTCTGTTTGGATTATTCATATCGTTGATTGCTGTGTTCACCACTTTGGCCATAAAGTTCTCATTGGTTTCTGCTGCTGGTCTTGTTTGTGGGTTTTTCTCTTTGGTAGTGGTCTTTATTTCATCTGTCTTTATGCCATTTGCTGGGATTTCTTTTGGTGTTTCATTTGAGCAGTCTTTCGTTTCACATTCTATTATGTCCTCTTTGTAGAGAAGGGGTTGAGTTTCAGCCAACACTTTATTTTTAGCAGGTACAGTGACTGTGGGGGGCACACCTTTTTCAGCCAGTGGCTCTTGGAGTTGTGTTACCCTTTGGGGTCTTGCATTTATAGAAAAACTCCCCTGCTGGAGATCAGTCCTTTTGACAGTGACATTTTCAGACACATTGTTCTGTGTTGCCTCTGGTGTTGACATTTCTTGTATGTTTTCAGGAGGATCATTCACACCACCTTCAGTTTGATCTTCCTTCACTGTAGAATAAGTGTTCTGCACAGCTATATCCTTTGGCTGTACAATGCCAGCTTCCCTTGAAGACGTATTTACTTTACTTACATCCAAGCTTGAGCTGGGATGATGTTTATCTGGCTCTGAGTTACTGCACTCCTTCTCTTTTGCATTCATTTGTTCTTGAGTGCTGTTATTCCCCTGACCAGTGTTGACAGATGTCTTTCTTTCTAGTACAGTTACCATTATTCCTGTGATTTGCAAGCTGTCATCATCCACCGGGGTATCATTCTGACTTAAGACCAGATTTAGTGAAGGTGCTGACTCCTCGTGAACTGTGTCATCTTTACTTGCACCCTTTTCTGCTGTCATTTGTTTGGAGCTTTCAGCTTTGTCCAGAGCTGTAGCTTGTGATGGAGCCTCTTTCCTTTTGTTGAGATGGTCAGTGTTTACAGCAGGATTGTCTTTAAGTTCCTCTTTCTGCTTTCCAGAGTTTTCGACATGATTTGCTTCCTGTTTGTCTTGCATGTTCTTGGTCGCCTTCTCTTTACTTTGTATTGGCGAATTAATTCCAGATTGATTCTGTTTCTTTTGATTTCCTGCCATTTCGTCTGAGCTCATTGTATGACTTCCTGTCTGTTTTGTTTCTGCGGGTGGTTTTGGCACCTTGTCATTGCTCTTCATTTGTTCTTTGGGAACTTGCTTCTGTGGATGATCTACTAACTGAGTTGTGGTTGCTACAGACTTGACTGGTATTGTAGCAGAACTGGGAGGTATGACAGACTTGACTGGTTCCATCTGTATTCCTGAAGGCTCTGTCTGGTGCTTTGGTGTTATATTACTTGACATTGTGCTTTCATGTTTTTTAGACACTTCCTGTGATGGTGGCCTTTGTCGTATATTACTGCTCTGACTACCTGCTAACATCTTGGTAGAATTTTTGGACATAAACCCATCTCGAACAGCAAAGCCCTTTTCTTTAATAGCTGAAATCTCTTTTTCAGCATGAGCTTTTATCTTGGAAGTCAGAATCTCCTGCTTGGTCTGTGCTCTCTCTTTATGGGACAATGCTTTGGGAGGAGTAAAATGCTGCTCTTTACCTGGACCTACGCTGTGCTCAGTTGACTTGGGTTTTCTTTCAAGGGAGATAGGTTTGGGCAAATCAGAGTCCCTTTGCTGTGTCACATCAGTGTGTTTCAGAGGGTCACGTTTTTCCAACTTTTCAACCCTGTCATCCTTCAGTTTGTCAGTGACAGGGTCACTATTTGCTCTTTTATCTACATTGGTAGATAAATCATTACCACTGGATAATTTGAATTCTTTTAATGATTCACTGTAAACATACTGACTTTCTGTCACTTCATTGAATTTAAAGTTGCCTACTTCCTCCTTATTTTCTGTGTTAGTTATTGCAGATTTGCTTGTAAGACTAGATTTATCTTTTGATTTTTCATTATTCATTGTCTCAACTTTATCTAGAGATAAAGCCGGTGTTTCACTGCCATCATTTGACGAAACATTTCCTGCAGCTGATGCTTTGTTTCCTTTTGGCGAAGTTGTATCAATAAAACCATATTTCTCTCTAAGATGCTCATAATCATCAGCCCCTCTGTTAGCTTGATCTGTACTTTGCCTGCTAACAACTGATTCTTCCCTCTGTTGATGGATTTGCTTTGCCTGGTCTTGATCTTTGTGCTCTTCATTTTTAATGGCATTTACCTTTGAAGGAACATCTGTCTTACTCGCATTCTCTTTTGTGAGAACTATATTTCTGATTTTGTCTTTTTGCTCTCCTTTCATTTTCTCCTTTATTTTAGCCAGTTCTGCTTTAGCTTTAGCTAACTCTGTCTTGACTCTCTCAACTTTATCTGGCTCACTTTTGACCTGTTGTGTCATTGTGAGTTTTGCTGCAGGTTTAGCTGCCCTGTCCAGCATGTTCTCTGTTTTTGTTAGCTGTCCTTTAGCTAACTGCAATTTGGTTTGTTCCCACTTTGCTTGCTCTGCCTGTCTCTCTTTGGCTTTACTCAGCAGTGTTGATAGTTGCTCTTCATTTACTCGACCCGCATGAATTGAATCTTTCTCAGCTTTCTCTTGTTTAACATGCTCGGCTTGAATGTGGTTTGCTTTGACCTTTCCCACCTCTAGTATCTTAGCTTTTTCCTGTTCTGCTTTAGCTTGTTGCTCTTGTATCTGCTCTAATTTTGCTTGTTCTGCTTTTCTGCGCTCTGCTTCAGCCTGTTCTGCTTTAACCTTTTCTGTTCTGATTTGTTCGGCCTTCATCCTCTCCCTTTCAACTTGTTCTGCTCGAACCTGTTCTTCCTCAGTTTGCTCTGCTTTGATCCCTTCTCTTCTTGCCTGTTCGGTTTTAACTTGCCCTGTTCTTGCCTGCCCAGCCTGCTCAGTCTTTGCCTGTTTAGTTTTTATGTTTTCTTCTTTTGGCCTCTGGTCTGCAGCTTGTTCTGCTTTGACCTGCTCACCCTGCTCCTCTTTCAAGTGCTTGACTCCCGTTTCCTCTGTATTGTTTCTTTGCTCTTCTGTTACTCTCTGTTCTCTGATTTGCTTTGCCTGTGTCTCTTCCTCTCTGGCGTGTTCTGGTTGTTTTTCTGTGGACTTTTCTGTCCGTTCCTCTTTTATTTTCTCCTCTTTAATGTGTTCTGCTTCGGCCTGGTTTACTCTCTCGTGCTCTGTTAGTTCTTCTTTGGCCTGTTCTGGTTTGACTTTCTCTGAGCCAGTCTGCCCTGCTAAAATTAACCTAGCCGACTCTCCTTTGGGCTGCTCCACTTGAGCCCAGTGCTGACCCTTTGCCAGCTCTGCTTGGGCGTGTTGTGCTTTTATATGCTCTGCCATGGCTGGTTCAGTTCTGGCCATGACCTCAGCAGACTGTCTGTCTTTTACCTGATTTGCCAGTGAGGGGCCAGACGTATTATCAGGGTTGGATAATGAACTTTTCTGCATATTATGTTCAAACAGTGGTTTAACTTCTACTGGTTGCAGACTTTGCGTTTCACACATCTTTGGAATTGGCGTATGTTGTTTTCTCTGGCTTGTTTCTTGTGTGATCATACTTTTGTCTTTATTAGAGTACAACATGTGTTGATTTCTGTACTCTTGATCAGTATATCTGTTATAGTTCTGTGTCAAATAGTTATCTTTCATTTCATTTTCCTTATTGAGTCTGTAATACTGTTGAAGGACATGTTTGTCCTGAAAAGCTCCAGGTTGCTGTTGTCCATAATATGCTGGATTGTCTGTAGCGTCATTACTAAATGGAGGATATTGTGGGATTTGGTTTGACATGTTGGGATTGACCACCCCAGCTGTTTTATGAGAAGATGTTCCAACTCCAAAACTCTCCCTTGACTCTATTTTCTCAAGCTCTGTATTTATACTTTGCTGATTTCCCCCTCTGTATTTGTCTCTCTGTAAATTTAGTTCCTCCTTTATCATAGCTGCTCTTTGGTAAGCCTGTGCATGTTGGTCTTTTTCCGCTAAGGCTGTTATCTCTTGTTTCCATGGAGAGGCAGCTGCTTTCAGACTGAGATTTTCTGTGTCTTGACTGTTAGTCTGTCTCCACCTATCCTGTGAGGACAAATTACTGTAATCATGTTTGTTGTCTTTGAGCTGCTGATATCTATCCACCTTTGTGAATTCCCTTCCCACTGTTTCATTAAAATGTTGCTCAGCATTTGCCTTACTTATTAAATATTCTCTGGGTTGATTGTTGTCAGCATTTAGCCGCTGTGTTTCTGCCACTGTGTAAGACGGTTTAAGCCAGTATGCATCTCCTCCCAGAGTCTCTGCATTATCGATCATGCCTTGCTTATAGGGAGTAAATGACGATAGGTCTTCATGGAGGTTCTGTCCATTAGCCAGCTGATTGCCAGCATAATTTTCAGGTATGAAACCAGTGAACCCAGGTTGATGAACCATCTCACTTTGCATGTGAGCTGTCTGGTAATCACTTGAAGGGTATTCTGAATATTGGCCTACATGTGCAGGATAAGAATTTGGTGCTGTAAGTGCCAATCCAGGGCTTTGATACTGGTTCACATACTGATGTGAAGCCGCATTTGTCCTGTTGAATTCCTCCACGTGGGGAAACTGAAAGTCTGGATCTGGAAAGTCAGGGATGTCTATTACAGTGTCTCTTGGCTCCTGGATAGACGGCTGCTTGTTCTTCTCCAGTGTTTCCAAGCCTTTAAATTTAGTAGGACTGTAGGTGCTTTTCACTCTTTTCCTATTGTCTTTGAGATTGAAGAGTAGGCTTGTGGCTCTGGATTTGTAGTTTGACATCCTGACATCAGGAGTGGCTCCCCTGCTTTCTGCTCGCACTGGAGCATGTTCTACAGGTTGAGGGGAGGCTGCATACTGCCGGACCTCTGATGTCTCTACTTCCTGTTGTGGATGGACTAATGGTGTGAGCAACTGGCTGATGCTGAAGGGAGTTGTGTTATTGCTGACAACATTCGGTGCCACTGTTTCTGCATTGTTGCCAAAGGGAATAAAATTATCATTGCTACAAAACACTCCTTGTTGATTTTCTATCATCCCTGTTGTGATACCTTGCTCTGTCATCATTTTGAGTTTTTGCTGGAGGGCTTTGACGGAGCTGATGGTGTCCTGGACATGTCGAGACATGTCGCTGGAAGGTGATGCAGTTGATGGCCGTTGAGAGTGGAGCCTGTTAGATCCCAAGCTCTGCGTCCGCTTCCTGTGGGGGTAATGTCCTGTTAATTCTGACTCACAACGCTTCTCCACGGCTGCAGCTCTCTGCAGCACTGTGGATGTTGAGGTGGGGCGCGGAAGAGAGGGAGGGACCGCAGGGGCCAAGTTATTCCTTTGGTGTCTGATGCCTCTCTCATCAAACCTATAGGGAGCCTGTGGTTGGGCCTCCAGTGAAAGCTCCCTGTACATTGGTGTCTCATACCATTTAGGGAACTCTGAACAGTGCATAAACCCTGAGACTTCTCCTCTGTGAAAGGGAAAACGGTTATGGTCCCTCCATACCTTGAAGGGACTAAACTCACTGTGAATAAAGAAGTTAGAGTTACAGTTGACCTGCGCGGACATGCTGTGTTTACTGTGGGAAGATCTCATGAAGGAAGATGCAGAATTCATGTGAGGTACTGCTGCTACTTCAGAGGAGTAGAAGTTGGTGTCTTGAGATGAGAATGGGCCAGCTGGGGGGAAATGACCACTGTTAAAGTTCTGCTGGTAAGATGTAGAGAACTCAGAAAGTTCCCTTTGGATACTCATCAGAGCTGATTTGTCCCAGCTTGGTTCATCATTCCACTCTCTGAGTTTACCATCCATCCCTGCTCCATCCCTTTGTCCCTCTGAGTTAAAAGCTCTGATCAGAGAGGAAACTCTGGAGCGGCTTCTGCGTTGCTGCGAACTCAACTCTGTGGCTCCATTGCTGAGGAAAGACAGCTGTTCTTCCCTCAGAGATGCCTCATTTTGAGAGGTTTCCACAAAGGAGTGCTGGAATGTGGCAGAAACCCTCCCCTGTGTCCTTTCCCCATAAACCTCCCACTGTGGATCTCTCTGGATCTCAGCCCCATACATTCCTCCATGGATCCAGTCCTGTCCGTACTGCTGCATCCTGAGACTGAAGCTCTCGTGTGCTGCTCTCTTAAGTTCCTCCCTCTCCCTGTCCTCTCTGTCTCTGTCCATGCCACTCTGGCCAAAGGCCAGCTGTCTGTCTCTCTGGATGCAGGGAGAAGATGAACCCAGGTCTGAGTCATTGTAAACAGCCTCATCTCCAATGCAGAGACTCCTGAATGCTCGATCTGTCAGACTGCTGACCTCACGGTCAGTCTCATCCAGAAAGGACCCACCGCTGGAGGTGTCACTGTAGCCTCCATCACTGTGCTTTCGATGTCCGCCACTCTTTCGGCCTGAGCGGCGCTTCTCAACTGATGTCATGATGCAGGATGGCTAGCAAAGAGCACTGTGCTCAGTTGTTCAGTCATTCATGCAATCCCAGATCTCAAAATTATACACTGTCTGCTGCTGGAGCTACAGGACCCAGAGTTTGGGGCCCTCAGTCAGGATCTTCTACAGCAAGTAGCTCCTAAGACATGGTGCCTTTTAGTTGGCCTCTGTCCAAAAATATCCTGGAATTTCTTCTTTTCCTGCAGGAGAAAAGAAAGGAGAATTAGCCTGGACCTGAACATGCACTCACACAACCATTCATCTTAAAATAAAGAGCTTTATAATAGTGTTTGCATGATGTGTGCGATGTATTTCAACCTTGATCAAAGGCCTTGCTCTGATGTGAGATCATTTAAAAACCTGTAACTCATTTGGTGTTGTACTTATTTTATGATAGCTGGCCTTGATAAGAAGCTTTTTTCCCTTTGCATTAAGCAACAATGTACTGTATGTGGTTCTTAAAACAGCTCTGCAAATCCTTCTACTCAGTCACTATGACCTTCAGAGACATGTTGTGAATAAAACTACACTGTTGCTAGGCACAGTAAAGACAGCCTCACGTGAGTTATTTTGGGAAAGCAGGGCGCATCGGTACCAACTTAGATGACCACACACACAGACACACGCACACACACTCATGGACACAATTGACATTGGTTTAACCATAATCAGAGGTTTTAAGTAACGAACACAAAATGTCACATTATCATAGTGTTAATTATAATCGGAAGTTAGACAAGTCAGACCAGCAGGTTCGACTTCCACCAAGTTGTTTCTCTTTTGAACAGAAGAGTCAGTAAGTCTGGTGACGACCAGTAAGCTGACACATTACACTGAAAACTAATCTTGTGGTGAAACCCCTTTGGTTTTACTACAGTACAGACAGCAGGTGAAAAGCAGTTTAAATATCCTTACGTAGAAGCGCAGCTAAATTAAGATTTCAGAGGTAAAATTAGAAAGTTTATTGCTGGTATAAGTACATAATCTCTCATCGTAAATGTTCCAGTGTGACATTTAAATTAGTAAAAGCCAACTGTGTTTAAAGGTCTAGTGTGTGGGATTTAGTGGCATCTAGTGTCTGAAGTTGCAGATTGCAGCCAACTGAAACTTCTCCTGCGTGCCAAGTGTGTATAGGAGAACTTGGTGGCGGATGAAAATGTGAATGGCCCTGTGTAGAGACAGTGTTTGATTAGTTCAACCTGGGCTAATGTAGAAACATGGTGGTCTCTGTGGAAGAGGACCCACCTGATATAAATGGCTCATTCTGAGGGACTGAAAACACAGTTCTTATTTTCTGGTGATTGTACACTAAAGAAAACATGCTTATTATATGATATTTCTGCCCCTAAATTATACACACTGGACCTTTAAATTAGACTACTTGAAAACATTGTCATTACCAAAATGACCAATGTATAAAATAAAAATTATATAAAGTATAAAACAATTAGCAGAGTTAAATAATAAGGTAATTTCTGTGCAAATCTTTTTTTTTTTTTCATAAATAAAATCCGTGTTTTCTGGTCTGTAAATCTGATACAGCAAAGGTCATGGGTGAGTGCTGTGACATGTGTGTATCTGTTGACGTCATAGCTTTTTCTAGCCTTGTTTCTCTCACTCATCACCAGTAAGCTGGCTGCGCATTGCTCATGGAGGGCCTTCAAAACTACACTTGTAATAAACTGGATTTAAAATGTAAAAATGATACAATGCAAAACATACTTAAAAAATAAAACTTGTGATTAAAAATAATGCTCAACATCTCAGTAATAAAATGTTCTTTCATCCAACCTAGGGCCCTCTTATAGCCTTCTCATCACACACTCCCTCCGTTGTGCTTTTAAATAAAAAGTTTGCACATTTAAATGCAACAAGGTGACGTCATGGGTATTTTCTGGTTAAATTAACTGCAGCTGCCGGGCAGCCGTCACCTTGCTCAAAATATCCAGTAGTTCATTAATATCTTCTGACCTGGAGGCTGTCCATGTCATATGAATCTACAGAACAGTTACACACCGCACCTCTGTACTGCTCGGATAAGTCACTATCACGTGAAACTGGTGCAGAAATGAAAGGAAGTTTAAATATGTCATGCAACACCTTTCTCCTGAAACAAAACAACAACTTAGGTAAGGGCATGCCTTTTATGATAACATTCACTTTCAGCATCCTAAGAAAATGTTCAAAAGACAAGAATCTTCAAACATCAGAAAGTAGCATTCAAAACTCATGCATGGTTAAGAGTAACTGACCCTAATTTGAGTCCTTTTCTGCAGCACTAATCTCATGTCAAACTGTCAGGGTGATTTCTGTTAATTCTTGCATGTGACAGGTTTATTTTTGTCCAGTGACGGGCCTCCAACTCTAAAACCTGACACCAAAGAGGCCTCATTTTCCGAGGCACTGTGGCCCAAACCAAGACTGACCGGCAGCAAATGTGTCAAATCTGAGAGCAGAGGGGGTATGACTAAATGTTTATAAATGTCAGCAACTGTCAGTGGAATAAAATAAAATTCTGCCAGTCAATACCTTTAAAGCAGAGATTTTTTTTCATATGTTTTCATTTATCTACATGAAAATGTCCACTCTTACACTTAAATTCACTAAAAAATGACAGTGCATGCATGTGTGAAAGGTTAAGTATATCTCTTGTTTCTGAGGTTTTTATTCTATATCATTCTTAAAGTGTCCCTTCTTCAGCACGAACAAGAATATAGAGTGAGCTGTTGTCTTACCTTCCAGTTTTATAATCCATAACGTGGGCCTTATCGTAAAACGCTCCCCAAAAAGGCCTTGCTGATCTGATCCTGCCCTCTCACCCCACACAAGCCCTCTCTGGCACCTCTGACTCTTCCTATTGACAACAATCCAAAGCAAAAACCTCTATGTAGTCCACAGTCAGGTCTTTGAGCATCTGACCAGAGGCGGGCAGCGGGGCTTGGGGCTGGTGACCAGACAGAAATAGAGGAGTTGTCCCAAAGAGAGTGTCCACCATGGGGGGACAGAATGAGGGCTTGAGCTCGCATGCAGATCTGTGAGATCCTTTGGTGTCGAGTGTCACACGGATGAAACAAACAGCCTCTCAACTATTTATAAATCTGGACGGCTAACTGTCGACCATTAGCAGCGAGAGTTAATAGTCACAAAGTGTTACAACTGGCTGAGGAGGTTGTGGGGTCAAAACCAGGAGAAAAACCTAATATCCTAAAGGTGTGTTATTATTGTGGGTGTTGGGTAGAGGCGGGAATGTAGTTTGGGTGCCCCTCTGGGAGATATAAATAGCTCATTTGCCTCACGCTAGAGTGCCACCCTCTTCGTTGAACAGACCTGCCAAGTACTATATGGAGTGTCAACAAGTGGCTTCTGGTCACCACCTGCTATCATCACCATAGGCTCAAATATAGCCCTCTATTGACCATGAGACCATATGACAGAGAGGTTTCAGCAGATTTATTTTTCATTTTTAAGAAGTTTTTTCATTTAAGGTTAAAGTTTTTTTATTCAATGGCACACATCTGAGATGTTTGTGGATTTCACACTCAACTATGGAAGTCTAATCTCCCTCGCTACAGCCTCACTCACCCCCCAGCTGAAAAGGCCATAAGGCAGAGGAAGGGGAGGAACTGTACCTCCCCCTTTCACCCCCGATTCTCCCTCCCCTCCGACAGCCCGCTGCTATAATAGGAGATTGCTGTAGCAGATAGTTTCCTGGGATTCTTGGCGGGTGCAGGGCTGGTCTGGCGGGATGATGGACACACACACATGGGCCCTAATGGAGACGCACTCCTCCATGTATGCCCACCCACACACACACACACACACAGATGGTTTTGCATACAGCTCACTAAACTTCGGGAAAGGCTGAAGTAATCCCTTTTTACCTAATCTCTTTCCTCCCCTCTAAACAATCCCTGTGGCAGATCTTCCCATAAGTGACATAGGCATTTTTTATTTTCATTTTTTTTGACATTCAAAAAAATTTAACATAAGAGTAATGGAGTGTATGTGGAGAGCATTAAAGAGAAAACGAAAAGCCTTCCAGGGTGCAGTACAAAAACAAGAAGATGAAATTTGCTAATTAGCACATACAGTATGCTCTTATTGTTTATTGTTCATTATCATTGTTTGTAGCTATGTTGTTTATTTGTTTTGATTTCTCATAAAACTCTTGTTCTTCTTAGTAATAAATACAATTAATATAGAAGATATAATAATAAAAATGATAATGATAATAGGCCTAATTCATTCATTCATTCATTATCCATAGCCGCTTATCCTGGCAAAGGGTTGTGGGGAGCTAACCCTAGCCCTAAACCTAACCCTTGTTGTATGGTCTTTTTTTTTTGGGGGGGGGGGGGGGGGGGGGGCTCACCAAGGACACCAAATGTGCTAGGTCCAGCACTGCCACATCCACCTACATCACACATTTTGACTTGTGGAGGCAGGAAAAGCGCAGGTGGAATTAATAACAGTAACAATAGCCCCATCCCATTTAGGTGAGCCAGTTCTATGATGCTTATTGTGCACACTCACTCACTGACATTGGCTTACTAAGACTTCATGGAATGGAGCCATAAAACTGCTTTGCATGACAAGTCAAAATGTCTATCTCATCCACCATTTTCCTCTCCACCCTGAACTCCATGTCAGTCAGTTACATCCATAAAACTACCATAAGATAATCAGTTTCACATATCTGAAAAATTCTCATCCAGAATTTTCAACTTTCTGCTATCTTATCTTGTTGTGCTTCTTACTTTTGGGCCTTCATATTCAGCACTTGTTGAAAAAATTGTTTTGATTAGTAAAATTCAATTTACAAGAACGTCCATCAGCAAAAATGACTCAGTGTGTGTTTATCTAAAATGTTCAATTTCCCCACTGAAGTTTGAAATGAAGGCTGCTGTGGAGTCTGGACAAGTTCCCTGCTCACTCAGTCCCTCTAGTGGACAAACCGAGAACAGGCGTCCAGTCCCATTTTGGTCTGTGATGTTTGATACATATCTTTTGTTTTCTTTTGCACAGTGAAACTCTCCAACTTTACTTCAACAAATAGTTTCATTGTGGAGCTACTGAGGACTGTAAGCATTGATCACAAACGCTGAGGATGCTCTTCCCTGTGCTGAGTAAGGAGGAGTGGATCTGTGGTTGTGTGGCAGACAGCAGACAGGCACATTACTTGCTGCATTAAGATATGCTTTGTTTGTATTATCTCCATTCAGAAATGAGCTTAATTGATTCTAATTGATTGGGTTATTGATCAGGTCTGTTGCAGGAATGAAAAGCAGAGATGATACAGTAGTGGGGTGTTTTTGGCCCCTCAGTGGACCGGCCCTGAATGCACCGTATGTCTGATTTTGGAAGCTGGGTCCTTGAATAGTAAAAATTTTAGGTGCTGCACCCAATGTCAAGCAAAAGAATTGTATGTATGTGCCAGTCGTTCTTAAGCACACTGTCTCTTTCTGTGTGCCTTATATTGTCTGTGGATGGGTGCATGTGCACAACGTTTCCCTGTTTCAGGACATATTTCCCCACATCCCTGCAAAAATATTTCATTACTGCAACAAAAGAAGCCCATTAACTGCACTGTAAGAACAGAGTTCAACTGCTGTCCCCCATATTCACCATGTTTGTCTGCTTTTCTGGCCGCTCTCCAGCTAATTTGATATAACAATGCTCCACAAAACCGCCTCGGGACTTTTTTTAGGTGACAGAAAATTATCAATGATGCCACATGCACAGCTGAATGTCAACACCAACTTGACTTGTTTATGAAATATTAAAGCAGTGAATTATGGGCACCATGCAGAACTTAATGATGATCGGAGTCATTATAACTTCAGCATCCTTTGTTTTGGCTAATGATTAAATTCCACAACTACTGTATTCAATTTTGGAGAGATTGAATGTGTTTTTCACGTCTTTTGTATGAGTTGGCTGGATTGTGTTGTACATATTGGTACATTTTTGGAAAAAGAGCTGATTTGTATAAGGATATTGTGTTATCATTAGCTGCCATGTCAGGGGGCTTAACATCTTTGCTCTGGAGCTCTCTTAAAGAAAATCATTATATTAGGACATGATGTTTTTGGTAATATTATTTGTGCCATGAATAGATACAACAGAGTACCTGCTATATAATATTATAATACCAAATATATAAAAATAAGCCATAATAGGTTCTGATTTTGAACCTTTATTTTAGCTGCATTTTGTCATTTCTGTTTCAAAAGCATGAATTTATTTGTATGGGTGGTGTGTGTTGTTTTCTCATAGGGAAATATAGTGTTCCAATAAAAAAAAAAAAATCAAATCTTAAAAAGTGTAAATGTCACAAGAAGGTGACTCACAGTGAGTGAAAGCGTCACTTTATTGGAATATTTGCAGGGTACTTACAACATGCACACATAATGGTGTTAAAAAAAAAAAAAAAAAAGAGGACGTGAGTGCTCTGTACTCTGTGTACAACCTGGCACGACTTCTGACATTATCTCCCTCTTCCATGTCACCAGGGTGTCGCCTCATCAATTATTGAACCAGTACTTCATGGTAATACATAATTTCTTATCAATTATTCATGATAATGTGTGTGTAGTTTACTTAATTGTGTTATTGACTATCAAAAGTAATTTCCTGAAAATCCTCAAGGACGCAAATTGAATCAGCCCAACTACTGGTTGTGAGCTCTGCGGTTAAGTATTCGCAATCTGATCAGCTGATCCTTTATTCAAGAGTCATCCTGGTGAAGAGATATTTAGGAATAATAAATCAACACATGTATTGCCTGTGATAAACTACTGTGCGAAGAGCCCTGAGGTGATGAGAGATGATATTTTTTCAAAATGTAAATCCAACATTAATAAATAGCATATATCATGTTTAATGGGGTTTATTAAAAAAATGCTCACAGAGAGGAAGAGAGGGAGGAAGAGGGTGAGCGTTCCTAAAAGTAAATAAATAATAAGAGTCACGATTGCTCTCCTCTCCCGGCTTTAAGGGAAACTGATAAATAATGTATCACAACAGATGGCTGGAGCGCGAGGCAACAGGAGAGGAACATGAGCGACTACATCTTTAATTGTTTTAAAGAACATGTCACAACAGGACTGGTGTGTTCCCTGTCTGCTGGCGCCACAGATGTGCTAACAGAGTGGAGGGGACAACTACCGCTCTGTCACTGGGTCTGCCTCAGCCTACGTGAGCATACTGTATTCTGGCACATGTACACATTTACACTGAAAATGGCTGATTATTATTAAAGTGCACTTTCACTTTAAAAATCAAAAGAATGAGAGATTGTTTGAGCCCGTTAATGAGCTGATGGCATAAACATTATATTGCCAAAATCCGCCCAAATCCTCACTGTCCTGCCATCAGTTCTACACTTACAGTTTACATGCATTAACATTCACAATGTAAGCATCCGTCCTCTTTATGAAAATGAGAGGAACTGTACCAGGATTACTTAAATTCACATTATCAAATAGGTTTTAGTTGCACACATGTTGTATCTATGTTAGTCCATCAAATAGAGTCCAAGAGTGTGTGACGACAGATATAGATCCAAAACCACACTTGTGCTTCTATGGGGATAACAAGGCCCCAAATATTCAGCATTTCTCACAAACAATAATAATTTACTGTCAAATAAATATTTCAATGTTTGCATCCACACACTGTGATATCAGTAAAGTCTTTCCCAGGCTGTTTCTGGAGTCAGTCAGTAGTTGTGCTTGGTTGTTCGTAGGACCAGAGTAGAGTAATAACAGGCACGATCACACAGATTTAGAGTATCAGTACGTCCACGTTTAAGTCCAGCGCTTCACTTTTTCTCCAGTGATTCCTTGGAGCAGTGAGGGTTTTTGTCAGGACTGCTTCCCAGGACTGAGACCTTGGCAGCCGGGCTGGGACTGGAGGTGTCCCCCCCTCTCCCCACGGTGACGGGCACCTCGATGGCAGAGCCCACCGTGGGCCTCGCCACCCCAGCTGCGCCCATGCCGACTCCAGACAGGACTCCCAC